GAGTTTGCAACCACCAAACATCAAGCAGAGTATGAGGCAGTGATTGCAAGAATGACCTTAGGTGAATAGATGAGGGCATATAACATTAAGTTGATAACGTACTCCTAGTTGGTCATCTCTCAAATAAAAGGGGAGGCCCAAGCTAAAGTCCCATTATTTTAATGATACCTCAAGATAACTACCACAAAATTGTCAAGATTCGAAGAATTCAAAATCGCTAATGTTCCATGGGAAGATAAAACTTGCGGCGACGTGATATCCCAGTTAGCCAACTCAAATAATCCTGAGATTAATTATTCTTTCATTTAGGAGACCAGGAAAACCTCAAGCATTAAAGTATCAAGGGAAATAATTTCAACCATAGGTTGTGCAGCATGATGCTACCTCACCATCATGGATATCTTCAATACATGAGTATATTGAGCTAGGGAGGGGATAACTTGGTAGCATCTCGGGCTCGGGCTTTGGCCAAAAAGATTATAAGTGCAAGGTATTTTTGGCTGACCATTGGTCGGGATACCCAATAATACATAAAAGAATAGAAGAAGCCAATGGTAACTTGGTTTACGAGCCTCTACATGTCTTATGAGCTTATCACACAACTCCCCAGCCGACCACATGAGAAACTCCTTTCAGGCTTACGTATGGTATAGAAGCGGTCATCCCAATAAAAATTGAAGAGTTGAGTTAGAGGACGACTATCCCATGTCAGTGGAAGATAATAGCAGAAAAATCAGGGAAGAGGTCGATCTTTTAGAAGAAAAAAGGATGGTGGCCTCTTTTGACATTGTAATTGTCAAGTAAACCACGATCTCAAGGTACAACCGGCGCGTTTGGCCAAGAGAATTCCATATGAGAGACTTAATTCTGCAGAGAGCCTACATAGGAGGGAAACATGCTTGGGATGGCTAGCTTGCAGCAAATCGGAAAGGACCCTATCGAGTGCAGACCATAACCGAGAAAGGAGCCTACATCTTGGAGTCCCTTGTCGGGGAATAGGTACATAGGACTTGGAGCTTCACCAAACTAAAATGGTATTACAGTTAAAAAGACTAAATATTTGTTTGTCTAGTTCGTTTTGTGTAACTGTTTGACATATTCATAAAGGGAAAAATACTTTTCCATTGTAATTTCTCTTGCTTTCCATTTTGTCTTTCTTTCTCTTTTTTTAGGATTCAAGAGGCGAGAAAGACTAAGCGTATTTATGCGAGGGGTGGTGCTCCCTCCCTCAGAATTAGCTACTCTTAAGGTATAGGTGGTGGAGCTTAAAAACTCCACCTTGATATGAGTCATAAATCGATGGAAAGGACAGAGATCCTAACCTTAGTTGGGGAATGATCCTCTATGATGCAGAGAACTCAACGAAGTACTTGTTTGACTGTAGTTACATAATTATGACCACATACACAAAAGAAACCACATACGCAAAACAAACCACATAGACAACAATCAAAAATCAAAGCTAACTACAACAAGTTTAGAGTGTAATAATTAAGGGTAAATACATCAAATAAACACTAAAACTAACATTTTTTTAATATAGAAAATAACAACAAATTACATCGAATCGGTTTGAGCGGAAAATTTGAAGGAGTCATGAAAGGCTCATAGGTCAGGAATAAGTAACTAACTAATGTACAACATTTTCAAAAGCAGCTTCTTTCAGACTATTGTCAGAAAAGTACAACAAGTATTTGTTCAAACTGTCTCATTCCTTTCGGAAAACCTATATCTTCAGAGAATGGGTATCCTCTCTTTTTCAAGCTTTATTATGACTTTTTGAACGCTTGAAGAGAAATCCTCCAACATTAGCTCTGCCTCATAGAAACACTGGTTCTCCTCTTCAAGCAAGCCCTCAAGTTCTCTTGCACGATCGGCTAAAGTCATATAAGAGCCATGCAGGTTCACCTTCTCCAAGAAGAAATACATTTGGTCTAGGCAATCACGCATAAATTATTATTCCCTTTTAAAGCTGGTGACCTTTGCCTTAACAAGTGCATAAGGAGCCTTCAAAGACTCAAGCTCTCGAGAAGAAGCCATGAGGACCAGAAGTTCCTTACAACTGGCCACTAACTAAGTTATAATAGAAGCCTCCTGCAACATCTAGAAGTTTATCTCTAAGAAAGAAAGTTTCCTATCTTAGAGAGTTTAAGAATTTTGGCGTAGTCTTCGACATACATACAGTCCTTCATCTCCGCCACAATCTAAGGCAACCTACTAGCCAACACATGGGGCAACGGGAGAAGAGTACTACAAGCACTTTTTGACAGGTGGATAACAAGAACAGAAACATGTTTCTTCAACTATTTATCAAGACTTTCCTGTATAGTTGCCTTACCCAGTTTCTTTTAGACCCCAATTAAGGCAGGTTTATCATGGTTCTTCTTCCTCCGACACCTTGAGAGCGTCTAAGCAGCCATGAGGGATTCCTCATATAGGAGCAGGGACTCCAACATCCAATATAAGTGCAGTGCAAGCTCAAGGTCGTCTCCCTCGTGCATTTTAAAAGGAGAAATACCAATATATAAGAAGATGTATATAGATAAGGCCCATATATAAGCTAAAAGTAGAGTAAGTATCAAATATTGTTTCCTTCTCCTCATCAGATTTCACATTAGAGATATCTTTGCAACATATCTCTTATATAGAAAAGGAAAGAAAAGCCGCCTTCATGGTTTTCTCTGTACTAGTGAGGGCATCGAACGAGAGAGAATAAGAGTTAGCCTCTATTGAGAAGTAATTTGGATACCACAATTGTCTCATCCAACAAGTACACACGGCCGACCATGAATAGGGGTTCGGAAAGACATAAAATTATGTGTAAGCCATAGAGTAAATGGGAGTGGCCAAGTAGTCATTCTTGAACTTTTTCCAACTCTCCATATAAACGCGAGAGACTTATTGTTGGCTCGACAAAGAGAAACGAGATTGTAGCCAATGTCCTTCTTAGAAACATGAATAGATGGAATAAGAGGTTCTTGGAAGATGGACTCGCGTCTCTTCTCACGAAGGCCCAAGCTATTAAATGAATTCGTGAAAGAGGAACACAAATTTGATCCAATACTTCTTTCTCAAAAGTAGTTCATGAAAGGAGAATGCCAAACTTTCAGAAAATATAGTCGTAGAAAGGAATAAAGTACCCTTCAAACTTATGGCATACTTATTTATCAGCAGGGATTATTCAGATCATCCAATCTGAAGAAGATCCCACCTTAAAGGAAGTTTCTCTCACAATGGCCTCCTAGGTATAAGCCGAAAATGCTTCTATATATTTAGAATCCACTCAGGAGTAATAATTTATAATGGTCGCTGCCATTGACTCTTCCGATTGAGAAAATCTTGCGCCTACAATACAAAATACATCAACTTGATCAACATCAATAGAACCTTGACATAAAGAGTTTTCCCTAAGGGGTTGAATGGAGCAACCCATTTCTCACACCAATATGTCATACCAAACAAGGCCCTAGTTAAACTCAAGGCGAGCCAGAGAAATGGTGTGGATGACATTATCACTCATCAGCAAATTGCCTTCATTTCCAGAAGAACCTAGCCCCAATCCAAAATTACCTTGAGGTATTTATGGGACAAAGATAAGGAAGTTTCACCCATACAGAAGTTTCAAAAATTGAGGGTTTCCACTTCCGTAAATGATGAAAAAAAATTTCTAGTGAACACGAGAACATCGTCCACATGTGCATTCCCTGGGTTGGTAATGGCAGTACTCTGAAAAAGACATTGACGTACTTGTAAAGGAGAACAAGCGAGATCATAGATAAGTAAGCGACGAAAATTCAAACACATGAGCAAGAGAGTTGGTAGCTAAACCCAAAAAGAAAAAATGAACGTAGAATAGTAGGAAAGAGAAAAGGGACCTTGGGGGAAAAACTACCTTTAATAGGGAATCTAGTCAATAATCAACAATCCATATCAAAAGTAGGAAAAAGATCTGAATCTAGCAAATCAACTGTCTCATCGAAAGTAGTGAAGGGTTAGAGTACTCAAGCATCCTAGGTAAGGGAATCATGCCCTCACCTGTACCCTAGGGCTACATGCATGGAGAAAGAAGAAAAACATTTCAATGATTAGAAATCATTTAATTCACTTTTCCCCCTCACTACTTTTTAATTTGACTCCAAGTGTTTCCCTTTTCGGTCTGAAGTAAGCAACATCTTATGAGGCCGGCCATAATCGGTAAAAACTTCTTCGACTCAAAAAATCTCAGCAAGCCAAGAGGACAACTATTTTGGGTGGGCCAAAAGACAAAAGATCAAAAGCTCAAATTAATATCAATTCACTCCAAATGACCCAAGGTATAAAGTCATATCACATGGAATGCAAGATACACTTTTCTAATATCCACTTTCCACTACACTCATATGAAATTCTGAACTGACTTGGACATTGAAGTTCTAACTTCGTAAGTCCACCCTTGCACTGGCATATCGAATATCAATGTCATCAGTTCATAATTCCTCATCAGCTTCAACTATTTATATTTCCTGAACAACACAGTGGCACGGTCACTGGGAATCAACTTTTGCCTCCTTCAAAATTCCACAACCAGATCATCTTTGATCCAAAACTGGATCTATATCTGAAACCATGGAAACAGTAACTTCATCATCCATGTTTAGGAGATCCGCTAAATCTCTCGATTTAGTCCTCTATTAATTATCACCTATCGATAAAATTTGTAGTGTAATAACATCCAATGTTGATCATCCATTAGAGTGCCCCTTGTTAACAACAAAGACATATGATCAGCAAACCAAAGATTGATTGGCGCTAGGATTTTTAGATCGTGATAAGATCAATGGAAATTAGAACTTGAATCTACCTCTTATACTAGTTGTCACCGTCGTTGATTGCAATCTGACATGATTTCTCGTAGATGATGGGAGCTCTTCCAACATCGTCTACATCAACACATTATAGTAATATAGGCCTTAGGATGGACATTAGGATGGACATGGGCTAAAAAGGAAATAATTTGGAATATGCTGGGAAGCCAAACAGAAGAACAAGGAGATTGTTCAAAATTCAAAGCAGGAATCCCACATTGTTGTAAGAAGGATCCAACTGTAGTTGATTTGTTACCAGGAACACCTTACAACCAACAGATTGCAAATTGTTGCAAAGGCGGTGTGTTGAGTTCATGGGCTCAGGATCCAAGCAATGCCGTAAGTTCTTTTCAGGTTGTTGTTGGTTCTGCTGGAACAACTAATAGAACCGTTACACTTCCAAGAAATTTCACCCTCAGAGCACCTGGTCCTGGTTATACTTGTGGTCCTGCAAAAATCGTCAAACCGACTCAATTTATCACCAGTGACAAGAGGAGAGTCACACAAGCCTCGAGTAAGTTTATTTATGCCTTATACATTATTCATAAGAGTTATTTATGAGTATGGAAACCAAATTTGAGATTCTAATCTAACATGATGTATGTTTTATGGCAGTGACATGGAATGTTATCTGCACTTATTCTCAAAGACTTCAGTAGAGACTTAGAGTATGAACAACCAAATATGTTGTCTTACTGGTCGTGCTTGCTATTGCATTATGTAGTTAATTTCTCTTTTTATGTTATCTTTATCTTCTCCGCGATGAAATAATTTGCTTGAAATTAAATATATGTTTTTGCATGTTTGCAAAATTGCGTAATTTTGGTATTTTTCGTGTTTTTGATGTCATAATTATTAGTGTCAAGACTATTATTTGTATTTTGTCTTATTTTCGTCTCTCTTTTAGAGAGAAATTTATAAGATATCTTAAAATTTAAGCAAGATAAGTATTGATTGCAAGGGGGAGTTTTGTGTGTCACTATGTGAGGAGGCAAAATATCTCAAAATTTATCAAACATAAAAAAAAAGAGATTAAAATTGCTTCGTTAGTAATTATGTGATTTTATGTGTTTTGATGTTTCGCCTCATTTTTAGATTTTTTTAATTTATCATTTTATTGTATTTGGTGTCCCTGACAATTATTTCTGATTTTCTCTTAGGTTGAAATCATTCACAATAATTTTTTTAAATTGAGCAATTTATAAAAAGTCAACGTTATGTTCTTGAATCACAAATTAGAGACTTGAAGCAAGACTTTTATACAAGTTTGATTCGAGTCACTGTTTTGCTGGACTCAAATCATGTGTTAATCAAAATTTTGAATTTTGACGCTAAGAGGGTTGACCCGATTCAAAGTCTTGCCTAACTCAAATCAAAAGGCTCATTGACTCAAGTCATAATTTTGTTTGACCTGAATCATGAACGAACTCAAAAATTTGGAATTTCATCCCGGATATGTGACTTGAGTCATAAATTTGTTTGATTCGAATCAAACGAGCTAAATTTTGACTTCATCGTCTTGATTCAAGTCACTTTTTCGTTAAATCATCATTATGAATTTTGACTCGAATCACATTTACTAATTTTCACTTATTTTATATTTTATCTGTAGGACATAAAATGAAAAAAATTTCTTTCTCTAAATAAAAACTTTGAAAAAATAATTTTGTTCATAACTTACAAAAGAGTTTTTTTACATTCTCTCACAATCTTTGAAAAACAAAGAGTGTTTTGTTAATAACACAAACTTTCTTTTAAATCAACCTTGAAGAAAAACTTCTTTCTTTAGTTGATTTCTTGAGTGTGAATAAGTTGTGTGTGAGATTCTTCTGAAAAGTATCATCTTTAACCTTTAACCAAAAACATAATTTTTATGGTTACTCAACTCTAAAGAGAGTGTGTGGGAGGTAGCTGCGAGGTACATTAGGGATTCTAGTGTTTTTGTGAACTTTGTTTGTGTTATCAGATTGATGAATCATATTGTGACTATGAATTTTGGAGATTAATTGACATCTAATGAAGAAAAATAAGATTTTATTCTCCAAGGGAATTTAAATAGGATCAAGTGATGGTCATTGTTGACGAAATCTTGGAGTTTATAACTCCTTCATCAATTCAATGAAAGGGGTAAGGGAATTTTGATAGAATCTAGTAAAGATCACTCTTGACAAAATCTTGGAGTGTTTTGGTTCTGAAAAGACAATTGGTTTAAGATGGAGTGAAGATCTTGAAGGATTTATAACTTAGAGAGCTATGTATAATAGAAGAAAGATCAGGACTCAGATATGCGTTGCTTAGTAGTTAACTTTAAGTTTTCAGTTTGTTTATGATTATCAATTGTATCAAAGGACACTTGTAATAATTTCAAATTAGTGAAAAACTTAAGAATTTATAATGGTTAGCCATTGGATACTGAACTAGATGCAAGCGAGGACGATGTAGCGAACTAGTATAAATTTGGTATACACCTTTTTCTATCAGACACTTTTAATTTCTGCATAGTTTACATGTTTTTAGGTTTTAATCGATTTCTAGAATTTTATGTCGTTAGAATTTATTGCTTATAGTTATTTAATGTTTAAGCTTAGGTTTATGTTATATTTTATCTTCAAAACATTATCTCTAGTAATTAAAACTGTAATTGTAGATTCTTCTATTAATTAACCTAATTCTATTCAAACGTCTTATTTGGTTTAACTAGATTAATTACAATATTGTTGTTTAATTGATTCATCAATATTGTATGATTATTGTCTTCTTCTTGATTGAAAAGACGCTAAAAGGACAAGGCCAAAAGCCCCAAAAAAAAACATTGTATCATCATTGTATTCATCTGCACATATACTCAATTCTGTAATTCCTTTTGTAAAACGCTTTTAAAATTTTGCTCCCGCACAATTTTAATCTCTAATTTTTAGAAAAGTTTTTAAAAACCATTTAGGGGAAAGGTTTATTCAACCCCTCTCATTTCTAGAACATTTTGCTCTCATATTCAATCCAACAATTGGAATACAGAGTTGGTCTTTTGAACATGTCTCGTGACTTTAAAAGTTGTGAATTTTGGAAAGGAAGATCCAAAAAGCGCAAATAATAGAGCATCCATATTCAAGGGAGAGAATTATGTATATTATGTTGAAACAAGTTTGGTTCATGCCATGAATCCTCCAAGATTTTGATGATAACAAAGTATTTGAAAAAACAATTAGGATCTCTAACTAGCCAGTTTGTGTGTGCAAAATTATATTTACTTGATGGAACTAGTTCTGACACTGAAATGGCTTTGGTTCAATTCCGATCACACTCTCTAAAGGACGTCTGATCAGAAAACCAGTTGCTAGTACACTCCAGCTCAGATGCGTGCTATGCTGGCTCTGATGCTGAGTAATGTGATATCACTTCTGCTAACACAGGACTCAAGATTTATTGACATTATCTTCTAAAGGTTGTGTTGTACTTGAATCAGAGTTGTGCCCTATGGACAAAGGCCTTGTTTCACGGATTTTCTTGTGACTAAAAGTTCCAACACTTGTTTCATTAGAAAAGAAGATGTACTAGAAGATTTGGTTTTATTTGTAGTCGGTGGAGATCTCCAACGTCTTTATTTTCCTTGGCTATAAAAAGGAGCTAAAGATTTGAAGATCACAAAGAAATAACGCTGCAAATAAAACTAAGAAGTACACACACTACTTTTAGAAAGCTGATTCTGTTAAGAGTTCTTACTCTTGTGTTGATTAAGAATCTTTGTAATAGTGTGTTGTACTATTTGAACACCTTAGATATTTTATCAAGTGTTTTTGTAAGTTATTCCTTCTCTAAACTAGTTGTTTAGATTAAAGTATTAGACACGAGCTCTAAGAAAATTAAAAGACTTAGGCACGAGCTCTAAGCAAGGAAAAAGTCTTAGACACGAGCTCTAAGCAAGGTAAAAGTCTTAAACACAAGCTCTAAGTAATGTGAAGTCTTAGACAGGTGGTTTAATCAAGAGAAGTCTCTGTCAAGAGCTGATTGAGCAGAGTGAAGTCTTATACCCGAGCTAAGCAACGACAAGTGGTCTGAGAAAAAAGAAGTTTTATACAAGTGTGTATAAGAAAGTGTAATCCGATTGATTTTAGTGGAAAATCTCTTGCTTGGCAAGGGGGCTAGAGTACTCTCAGTTGGGAGAGGAACCAGGATAACTATTGTGTGTTCTTTGCTATTTTTACTTTAATTTTGTCTCTACTTCTACTGCACCTTATCAGATTCTGAACTCAGTTTTTAGAATTTGAACTCTGGTTAAAGAAGTAAATCTAACTTTTGCAAAACACAATTCATCCCCCCTTTCTTGTGTATTTTTCTCACCTTCAGTTGGCATCAGAGCAAGGTCTGTACGTAACACTTAATAATGGTGCATTCAAAGATCCAACGAGAAAAATATGGATCCTGAGGTTACTACTTCTAGTACCTTATGGGGGATTCCCTATGATTACAATAGCTCTGAGAGAAATCATTATATTGCTAAACCTCATATATTCAGTGGAGACTCTATTGAATTTAAATGGTGGAAAAGCAAGATGTACACATATAGCGGTGGACTCAATTATGATCTATGGGATATTCTTGAGGATGGCATTGACATTCCTGTAGACAGTGTTGGTATGGTTGTTGACAGAAAAGCTCTGGCTCCATCTCATTAGAAAATTTACAGAAAATACCATAGAGTCAGAGGTATTCTGGTTGATGCACTTCCATATGCTGAGTATTTGTAAATCATTGATAAGTCTTATGCTAAGACTATCTTTGAATCACTGTGTTCTACTTATCAAGGAAACCAACGAGTCAAAGAAACCAGAGCTGGATTATTGATACAAAAGTATAGGTTATTCAAAATAAAGGAAGATGAGGATATTAAAACCATGCTCTCCTGGTTTCAGGTTCTTGACTCAAGCCTTTATGTGTTGAAAAAACGTTACTCAACCGTTGATCATGTGAAGAAAATTCTGAGAAGTCTCTCTCAGTAGTTTAGACCTAAAGTAACAGTTATTCAGAAAGCTAAAGATCTGAATACACTATCCCTTGAAATTCTAATCAACAATTTTAGAAGTCATAAGATGGAAATCAATGGAGGTGAAACTTCTAAAAATTTTAAGCGTCTCGCGTTGAGATCTGCCTCAGAAAAATCTGGTGACAAGTCCAGAAGATTTTTAAAAAACAGTTAAGTTGATGAATCGTCTGAAGAAGAATCTGGTGGAAGATTTGATGACGAAGACATGGCATACTTCACCAGAGGAATTCAACAAATGGCCAGAAGAAGAAGATTCTCTAAAAACAACAAAAGGATCAACTTCAAATATGAAGACAGAATCTGCTACAATTACAACAAACAAGGTCATTTCAGAAGTGATTGTCCTGAACCTCTGAAGAACAGTCAGAGAAAAGGAAGTTATCAGAAGGACAATTTCAGAAACAGGTTAAAAAATAATTTCATGGAAACATGGGAAGAACTAGATGAAGAAAATTTAGAAAAGGAAGAAAATTCTAATTTAGCACTGATGGCTCACTCATCTGAAGAAGGACTTGTATATGAGTCAGAAAATGAAGACAGGGTACGCTCTTACTCTAACTTTATTTCTTGTGCCAACAATCTTCTAGATCATTGTAAGAATCAAACTAGTCAGATTAA